ATCTAACACAAATATTTAAAGGCTAAAGTTGAGGTTCTTCCATGAAGCAGCTCTGCTGTCGTCCATTCACATTTTTAGTTGCAGTCTGAGTCATTTCTACATTCTCCTCTCTGTCAACACTCTCTGGTTTCATTTAAGAAAGTTGATTGTCAGATATTGTCCAAAATTAAACTTCGGTGTGGATAAGAGCTCACGCATCCTCACACCAGGAACCCAGAGAATGTAATCATTTACCCAGTGTGCTTTGCAGCATCTTTGTGACACTATATTTTAAAAACTTTATTAAAGCTAAACTGCCTACAGTATTTTTATTCTTTGTTTTATAGTTGAAGTAAACGTTTATCGAACAATATCTAATGTTACAAGTAGTTGGAGTTCCTTTTAACTGGGAAGACATTTGTGTTCTGTGTTACTGAATGGTTTATCAGATATAAATAAATGTGTATGAGCAATTCCATTTCTAAATTCCATCAGTTTTTTTCACCATCAGTCTCTACTCTGTAATCTAATTCCACTGTTCAGCGGATGCTGCCAAAGAATGTTCATGTTCCTCACACCCCTCCAAAGCGGTGGTCCTCCTTCCAGTTGTAATAAAGGGCTTAGCTTCCAAGCTGCCTCCAAGAGTTGGACAGAAATGTGTCACCGGGAGGTGGCAACAGAGTGATATCGGAGCGAGCCTTTTTGGACAGATTGAGCCCAGTGTAGCTAAGAGGACATCAACAGATGCCATGGCATGGCGAGTGAGGGAGGCGGCGGAGAGAGATTAGAGTCGAAAAAAAAAAAGGCGAAGAACGCAACTGAATTAGTGAACATATTGCACATTATAGCCCTCATCAGAGCTGTGAAATACTCTCGCGGTTAGAACTGGCGGCCGAGGTGCTCACAGCTTGTGGTGTGGTTGGAGGCGTGCGGGTCCGTGCGGAGGTATGCATAAACACATATTGCTGCTTTGACACTGATGTCACCCCAAAGAGGTGTTTTTATCTATTTTAATTTTTTTGTAGAATAAAGCAGACGAACGTGATGAATGACAAGGAGCTTCTGAGCTAACATGTCAACTTAAGTTTGAGTTGAGCATAATCGACTTCACAACAGGCAGGTAAGTTAAGAACAAAACTTATCCTGTTCACCTCGTTTGCTGTGATTTGCACACTTATGAGCAAATCTGTGTAAGAGCTCAGGCTCATTTCACACTGATATCCAATGTGAGCAGGAGGCAYGGGGCATTGCTGAAACTTTAATACTCGTCTGTTACTTCCAGTTTCCCCAGACTCAGCATCACGTAGTGGGAACATGGTGTTAAAATCACATCTCAACAAGGACGCAATGTGACCAGGAAGTCACCGAGCAATTCTTAAATAAATGGGATATTTAAGATATTTTTAAGTGRAGAAACATTATGAACTAGGGATGTTTGACAGAAATGTAGCAGGCTGTCGATGCATCCGCTGCCAGAATATCCGACATGCATCAACTTTTATTCAGTAGATGTGGAGACATTTAGGATAAACTCTGGCTGAAGTTCTTTTTGTTTGCTACCAAAACAGCAATGGCACACTGACACATTTTGTTATGTTCAGCTAAGACATGTCCTTATTTTAAAGTTTATTTTATGCAGTTTWATTTTTTTATTACAACCACAATTCCATTGAAGTTGGGACTTTGTGCAAAACATGAATAAAAACAGGAAAAGCAAATCCAATTTCTGCCTGTATTCAGCACCTTGACCTGCTTTTAGTATGAAGGGTGCTCTATAAATTAATAAAACTTAACTTAAACTTAACTTGTATTCAATTTAATATACCACAAAACAAGCTATTCAATGTTTAAATAGCTATTAGTTTTTTTAAAAATTAATATTTTAAAATGTTTTTAAGGTTTTACTAACCTCCAAACCCAGAGGAAATATAAATGCACATCAAGCAAAAACTCAGGAGTCTGGTGGATAAGACCTCAGGGAGCTAGTCTGGGGACCAAGTAAATTAGTGCGTCCCCTTAGTGCCCCCTTCATCGCACCCCTGACTAAAACTGGTTGAGCCACGTTTTGATGTATTTGGTGAGTTTTCTAAAGCTGCTGAAGTAGCAGTAAATCAAAAATCACGACAAAAACAGATTAATGACAAATAACAGGAGAGAACCATGCTTGTTAGTCTCTGATCTTTGTGAGCTTTAAAACAGCACAAAGTTCACATTTTGTACAGCAGCTTTATTAACAAAAATGTAAAAAAAAAAAAGGGGAGAGAAAAACTC